GTGTGACCTGCTCTAGGCTAACCTGCTTTGGCAGGAGGAGTTGGACCAGATGATCTCCAGAGGTCCCTTCCAATTCCTGCCATTCCGTGATTCTGGGATAAAGCCTGTCATTAACTCAGCCTTTCACAGAACGGGCAGACTTCTTGCAGGCTGGGACAATTGCATACAGCCAAAGTAGCCCAGGCTCAAGCCTATGTTTCAAACCAGGGCAGGGACTTGAAACTTGTATCCGAAGTAAAAGTCCTGATCTGGATGTCTCGGTGTGTGGAAGAGGGACATTGCCTGCCTAATGGTGAATATGATGACACTTGATATGGTAACACATAAAAACACTCTGAACTGTACTTTTTCAGTTTCCCAGGTACAGTAAAAGACACTGGCATGTGACTGATTTTTTTTTTTTTTTCTCTTAAGAGAGAATGTCTGAGAGTCAGAATTTCAGACTGATACAGTTAATACTTATGTTCTTTTTCAGGCTCTACTCATATTTTGACACCTAAGAGACTACTGGATGAAGTGAAGAGCCTTAGTAAACCAAAGGATATGGTCTGCATTAAGGATGAATAGAAATGCTGACGTTTATGATGCGTTAGGAAAAGACAAATAGTATGTATATATCCTTATGGAACTGACTTTTCTAAGTACTGTACCAGGACACTACACGGTTCTGACTAATGGAATGTCACTTTATAACTTAAATTTGCTGCTTTGTTGGGAGAGTAGAAGGCAGAGGAAAAAATCAACATGTGTGTTTCTTAGGTTGTATTTAGTATAGACAGTGTTACACTGTAAGTGCTTTTCAAAAGGGCATGTTAACACTAAAAGTGATCATAATTATATATATATATATACACTGGAATTGTCTTTGAGAACTGTGAAACCTTTCTATGATATAGTTTATTTCTAAAAATGACTGCATTAGAAAGAGCCTAGGTTCTTAGAAGCTTCGGAAGAAAATCTGTAAATATGAGTTTATGGTAAAAATATTTCACACAAGTGCAGGGTTTTAAACTAATATTTTCTGTAAAATAACTCACTGAAAAATCTTTAAATATGTGTAATTGTGAAAAATCAAAAGGTTGTTTTCAGATGGTGGTGGGTAAAGTAGAAAGTTAATCATGGAAGTACTAAGCAGTTCTAATTTCAATAAACACTTTGGAGAAATGCTGTCAACTGTGCACTGAAGTACACTTTGTATTTAAGTATGTATAGGGATTATTACTAAAGCTTTTCAAAAAACCCTTGATTCCTTACAGACTCCCTTGTGATTGTGTCTACATAGTCAGTCTGTTTAAGAAGTTGAATTACCTGTGATACAGAAGTTCCAAAATTTTAAGCATGAATTCTCTTTTTGAGGGAGTCGGGGCAGGGGAAGAGGAGAGGAAAAGAAGGGAAGTAGTTGAATCTTTCAAATGGCTTGGTAGTTTAAAAAAGAAAAGCGAAAAGCAAACCAAACAGCAAAACCTGGTGCATTCAAGAGAATTTACTGTTTTCTGCTACTTTGTTACGTACTAAGGAAAAAATACATAAATTTGTGTTGAAGGGGACCAAATAAATTCTAAATGGTATTAATTCTGTAATACTGGTAATGTTTAGATTTGTCTTAGAAAATTACTTAAGTAATTAAAATTACTAACCTTTTAAAGGGATGTTGTATTGAGGTGCCTTGAAATATTAGTTTGTTGTATGTAGAATCTGAGAGAAATGTCGTAATGAAAAAAGAATAGATTACTCATGACTCTTTATTTACATTTTTCCCAATTGTAAGGGTATTTTTTGTTTTGCAGGAAGGTGGTTTTGTTTCTTTTCCCGTAACTTTCCCCTCAGGTTAACTAGTAGCTTAAGAGAACATCTTGCTAGGTAAGTTCAGTCAAAGTTAACTAGAAGGTGGAAAAAGGTCAAATTCCCCCCCTACATCAGAGAGGAATGAAATGAGAGAACATTATATAATGATTCTAAAATGTTGCAGGACGTGGGGTGTGATGAGGATATAAGTGGCTGTAGCTTTCAAATGCACCTACGTGAGCTAAGCATCTAACGTATGCTGACTTTATTTCCATGGGAAGACAGGCACAACACCTTTTTAATTTAATGGGTTCATCAAACACGTGCATCAAAAGTCTTAAATATTTTAGTAGAAATATGTGTGATGTTTTTCTGAATTCTAGTTTCTAACTATAAATATCACAATAAAAACCCAGAGTAAAAGTATGTATTTAAGCAATGCAGTGTTCAACATTATCTTCCTGAAAATGCACACTTTGAAATCAGTATTAAACAATTACACTTAAATTGTATGTAGTCCTTGCACTTTGGCAAGAAGCACCCAAGTTAAAGCTATATGTAGTTGCAGATTTTCTTCCAATTCCCAAAGCAATAAATACAGAATAAAATTAGTGATATCAGTGTCCTACTTAAGGACTGAAATAATTTAAGTAGTATGTAAAATACATTGAATTGATGTTTATTTCTTGCATAAAGTTGAAGAAATACCAGTCTGAAATGTTGGATTACTTTTGCATATTCAGCAGTTAGACTTTCTCCAAGTGTCTGCTTTAGGCTGAAGTGCTACCACCAGCTCAAAATTTGATGGCTGATAAATGCAAGACAAAGACTTTAGAGTTTTGGGATCCATCACCCACTCTTAGGCAAAGCCAAAGACTACTGTAAAGGTAGATTAAAAGAGGTGCTTCAAGATAAGAAATCTTGACAGCAATATGTAGCCCCAAATACCTCCTGGTTTCTTACAGGAGCTTGTGAAGGGGAGGGGTGGGCGGGCAGGAAATTCTTGTAAAGATGTTTGGTTTGGGGTTTTTTTTCCAAGTACTTGCTTGGTTACTTTTTGCTAGAGCAAGAATTGCTTTACCAAGATCAAGA